CTTTCATTGATATGAACAGATACTTGCAGGAACGATTCATATACAACTTATTAGATATTCCCTTGAAATGTTTTATAATTTTAATAAAACCGAATAAGGTTCTTTTTTGTTTACGCTAAACGTGTATATTTTCACGCTACACATTGAGTGATCAACCCTACGTTGTGGACTGATAGATACAATCCCCTCTTTAAGATCGATATCACAGTTTCTCTAATTACCCACCCCCAGGTGGCAACAACAAACACCAATAGGCTGTTCACAACGCACCGGCCTGCACCAGTGACTGTTTAATTATTAATAATAATTTCAAACAACATTTTACAACAATTTGTCATGTATATTTTATCCTACACATCTACAATGTATCTCCTAGACATTTACCACTATTTTTTCAGAAAAATAAAATTTTTTATACCTCCGTCCTGACCCGTGCGTTGACCTGAACTGAGGTCCCAGCAACACTTGCTGTACGTGCTACAAGTGCACATGCCCTACAGGTGTCGCCACCTATCGGGGTACCATTAGAGAAAACAATTTCGCGCTAATTCCTTGTAGTCAACCGCGCGAAATATAAATTGGTACAGGCATTGTCAGGAAATTTATGGACTGTGTTTAATGTACGTTGTTCAAATAAACTCTTTCATTAAGGTAAAGTGGTATGTATATGATTGACATCTATTTACTTTTTTAGCATTGTCATTTGTCTAACACAATACAATTAGTGTTTTAGTTTAAATGTGTTCCTACTTTAAATTGGTACCAACTGATTAGCTGCAAGTTTCCCCGTTAGATATATAAATATGTTATGGACACCCATGATATATTAACAGTGTCAATAATATGTAAGTATGTGAGGAATGCGAGTTCTATCCGAGGTTGCAGAATTTGAACCCGAACCTAGGTTTGCCTGGGTTCTGAGCTCAAGTTCAACAAGTAAATATAGAATATTTATATTTTTGTGATCACCTTACTTAATTCAATATGACTTGTTGTTTCTCGAATCAAGATATACCCTCTCTCTCTTTCGTAGCTCAGGAAACAACAATACAGTGGGAAAAGCGGGAAATTAAACAGACTAAAAATGATGATTACAACAAAATTTATATTGTACCTAGATTAACCTTTGCGGTATTTGATTCTGTTATGAATAATTAATTGATTCTTGGGACTATATGAATCCCGTTTTTATTGTTTTACGAGGCCGTTGCTTTCTTGTCCTATGTAGTATAGCAGGAAATGTACGTATGAGAGGTTCGTACGCCAAGATAAAATATGTATTCTTCAGTAGGTGCAAGTTCGTCGCTACGCTAATTGCTTTTTTCAATCACTTATACATCTGGGGTTATTACTTTAAATCACTCTACTAAATGATGATTAACTAACCTAATTACAACAAGGGTGTCGAAAAGTGGAATATCAGCCTGAAAGTATTTTTGTATAAAAATCTCTCTCTTTTTGTTTGCATCATTATACCTGGGAAAAGAACATTTTCTTTTATGTGATGCTGAAATAATATAGTTATCATCCAGAATTGTAAACTTTTTGTAAAAAATTTAATGTAAAATAAAGGATATTTCATTCTTACTATTCTAGTGTACGAAAACTTTCCACAGTATGAAGGGAAGTGGTGTTATTTTATATATGTATGCAAAAATTCAGTCCAAAAAGTGGTAGAAACTATTCATTACGCACAACAAAGCACCCTGTGTACCCAAAAAGATGAGGGCCTAAGACACCTCCATGGCGTACACCGGAAAGCAATACAGCGGAGAGCAATACACCTGATTAAAGAATGAAATTCGTTGCAAGCCTACAATAAACCTTTCAGTGCAAGGTGGGTCACAAAAAAATCCAAACTCAGATTTGCTTCATCACTTGGTGTGATTGTTAAAGGTTTTGTTACAATTTTAACAATCAATTTTGAGATCAAATGTAATATCTTTGTGACTTTTTAGAAATTGTTCTTATACATTTTGTTATCATTTTGCATACATTTATCAGCAGAGCTTTGTTTTTACATTGCTTTTAGGGAATATATTAGACTCATCTGTTAATATTCATCTCCTAATGAAGAGTATAGGTATTGGCGAAGGTTGTCATGGTTTCTTCAAGAAATCTCGTAAATGTAAAGGTACAAGACTGTTAAAAAATCCACAATAAAAATGGCTTTTGGATATACTGACTACAAGTGGCATGTATTGCTCAAATGAAGATGTACTGTATTTGCCCTAAGTGCTAAATAAGAGCGTAAATGATCTGTTTGATCCAGGGCTTGATTCAAAGTATGGACTAAGTTGATCGACGGACCAGCAAAATACACAACAGCGATGGCAGTGACCTCTAACTTACCGCTGTTCAGAAATAACAGATTGATAGATATGATATCATCAAGTTCATCAGATATGCTAAACATTATTGACAACGAGAAATAAACATAACAGTGAAATCGATTATACTATTGGCTAATTACATATACGCATTTCGCTGACGACAAGGTAGCTAGGCATATCCCCTGGCCGCAGGTGGTTAATGTGTATGTTTATACTTTCCGGGTGTCTTTTTCTACAATAGCTGGAAAAGTTTTCCTTTATTTTTCATGAATGCATTGATTGTATTGTTAGATAAACTTGACAGGTAAGCAAATAATCAGATAGTGAAAAGGGGTCACCGTAACTGTTGCATGAATTAGTATTTATTCTCTCATGAGTTTGTTGACAAATCTGGAAGATTTTAACTTAAACTATACTAAAAATTATATAACAATGTGTTTGTATTTGCTATTTTATAACAATAACTCTGGTGCAATTGGGAAGATGGCACTGTGTATAGTGACAGTGTCTTTGAAGTGCCTTCAATCAAACACTAGGCTATTAATAATTGAAGTATATAGGCTATATTAATTGAAATGTTAAAATATATGATATTCTAGATATTATTTTTTGTAAATATGTATTAAATGGTTCTAGTATTCTCCTATATTAATTCGAACATACACTACATCTTCTCTATAATACTCTCTTTCTAGATATATATGTATATATGAATGTATGAAATGTGTGTATTTTCTCTGGAAAGGGCTTTTATAGGCAATGCCTTTGCCTAATCCAATTGTGGTTTTTTTAATACAATAAAATTGATTTGAAATGAAATTAGTATTGTGTAAATCCGTATCTGACGTCACCGATGTATATTTACTTACTTAATTAACTGCAACCCCGGAAATCAAAGGTATGCGGTTAGCTATTTGATTGGTTTCAGGTAAAAAAAAAATAAAGGAACAATCGCTTGGCTGATACCTGTCCTTTGAAGTTTACAGAGTAGCGACACTCGACTGATTTTAACGTTACGCTGACGTGCACTTCATTTGATGTAAATCAAAGGATACAACTAGTCCAATGTATTATCTACAAGGCGGCGCGTACAAAGTTTGATTTTGTCAGGACATATTCAAGGGGAGCAGAGAACGCAGGAGAGCTTAACTCCTGGAGTATCGAGGATGTATACCGACGTCTTGATTACAAAGCAGACTCATGATTATTGTAAAAAAATTGGAATATGTTCACACTCTGTTTACACCCTTGAAGGCAGACAAGCTATACTCTTGGTTGAACAAGACGAATACGTACAAGTTAAGAGGAAAATAACTCTTCAATATCTTTTACAAGGGAAAAGTCAAACATTAATAACTAACAAGCAAACGACCTTGACTTAAGTGTTCCATTGTCGAGAGAAGGCTTTATTGTGAATTCATATAGAGTTTCGTTGATCCAGAGATTGATATTTCGGAAAATACAATTTTTGGAAAATTTCCAGCATTTTTTCAAAAAGTCAACTTTCCACGAAAAGAGAGGTTTGGTTTTTATTGACAATGCAAATAAAGAGAGAAGTTTATCTGACTATGATGTATTTATTGGTTGTATTGTTAAAATTTATCAATCAATTATTTTTTTCTATCTCTGCAAAAGCGGATTTTCCGTTCATCCTTCTTTGTATATGTACCATCAGAACTCCCTCCTGAAACATAAAAAACGCACACATTGGAATGTATAGCACGAGCTATTCAACCTACAGATTCATTAACTGATTTGTATATAATTTGTTAAGATAAATTAGTGCAAAACTAGCTTTCAGGGGATTTTATATACAACTATCTAAACTTTATTTTGTGTCGTATAATAAAAATTGCTTTAACATCCCCAAGAATAGAAGAAGTCTTCCATCGAGACATACCAAGCAAGGAGTACCGAGACATACCCAGCAAGGAGTACCGAGACATACCCCTTTAAATGCCTACTCAGAAGAACATGAAATGCTGACGATACTTGATGTATGCAAATATAGATGTTCTGGAAAAATCTTTAGAAATAAAACAACAATATAAAACTAAAAGTCAAAAGCAATGGGAAACTTGCATCAGGAATGCATTCTGGTGTTGATCATTGGGAGAGTAAAAGGACAGACGTTTGACTGGATAATAAAAAAGGATTCCAAAAAATGTTAACTTCTTTTTTTATGTATCCAGTCTCCCTAAGCCCACTCCCTCCGATTCAAATGACTTTCCTTGATAATATTTCATTTTTCCTAGTACTCATTCTATGTACACTTAATGTTACCATATATATACAGAATATTAGATCGATATAAATATTATTAAAAAAAAGATCCGAAGGAGAAGAGACAGGGGAACACTTACATGTGAAAATCTGTTTTTATCGTTACTATAGGATAAGACTTCAACTAGCATCATTATTCAAATTTGAGTCACCCTATAGAATGATGTCTAGTGGCAGGTTACCAGGATACCAAGATAAATCTAGAGAATCACGTATATTAGAATACAGAGGACAGATAGAAAAGGAATTATAAAAATGTTCAAAGGGATGTCAACCTAAACATTCGACTGACGTTTTAAGAGTAACTCTGAACAGAACATGATTAAGTTAGTTAGTTGCTTTACGGCCCAGCGACGGTTAGTCGTATTGGTGGACCTGATAACGATAACAATGAACACCTTCAAAACACAATAGACCAAAAGGATTGAATGATAAAGGATTAAAACTGCATACGTGATAACGCAGCAAAATCGTCAGATATTGTTTTAAAATTTCAAATGTTCTGGCATAGACTAATTTCACTATTCAATAATCTTTGACAATGTTTCATACCACGCACACCATAATGAGTATCATGTCTTTTTAAAATTGGCATACGTATGAGTGTTAAATGTATGAGTGTTATATGTATGAGTGTTATACGTATGAGTGTTAAATGTATGAGTGTTATATGTATGAGTGTTATATGTATGAGTGTTATACGTATGAGTGTTATACGTATGAGTGTTATATGTATGAGTGTTATATGTATGAGTGTTATACGTATGAGTGTTATACGTATGAGTGTTATACGTATGAGTGTTATATGTATGAGTGTTATACGTATGAGTGTTATACGTATGAGTGTTATATGTATGAGTGTTATACGTATGAGTGTTATACGTATGAGTGTTATATGTATGAGTGTTATACGTATGAGTGTTATACGTATGAGTGTTATATGTATGAGTGTTATACGTATGAGTGTTATACGTATGAGTGTTATATGTATGAGTGTTATACGTATGAGTGTTATACGTATGAGTGTTATATGTATGAGTGTTATACGTATGAGTGTTATACGTATGAGTGTTATATGTATGAGTGTTATACGTATGAGTGTTATACGTATGAGTGTTATATGTATGAGTGTTATACGTATGAGTGTTATACGTATGAGTGTTATATGTATGAGTGTTATACGTATGAGTGTTATACGTATGAGTGTTATATGTATGAGTGTTATACGTATGAGTGTTATACGTATGAGTGTTATATGTATGAGTGTTATACGTATGAGTGTTATACGTATGAGTGTTATATGTATGAGTGTTATACGTATGAGTGTTATACGTATGAGTGTTATATGTATGAGTGTTATACGTATGAGTGTTATACGTATGAGTGTTATATGTATGAGTGTTATACGTATGAGTGTTATACGTATGAGTGTTATATGTATGAGTGTTATACGTATGAGTGTTATACGTATGAGTGTTATATGTATGAGTGTTATACGTATGAGTGTTATACGTATGAGTGTTATATGTATGAGTGTTATACGTATGAGTGTTATACGTATGAGTGTTATATGTATGAGTGTTATACGTATGAGTGTTATACGTATGAGTGTTATATGTATGAGTGTTATACGTATGAGTGTTATACGTATGAGTGTTATATGTATGAGTGTTATACGTATGAGTGTTATACGTATGAGTGTTATATGTATGAGTGTTATACGTATGAGTGTTATACGTATGAGTGTTATATGTATGAGTGTTATACGTATGAGTGTTATACGTATGAGTGTTATATGTATGAGTGTTATACGTATGAGTGTTATACGTATGAGTGTTATATGTATGAGTGTTATACGTATGAGTGTTATACGTATGAGTGTTATATGTATGAGTGTTATACGTATGAGTGTTATACGTATGAGTGTTATATGTATGAGTGTTATACGTATGAGTGTTATACGTATGAGTGTTATATGTATGAGTGTTATACGTATGAGTGTTATACGTATGAGTGTTATATGTATGAGTGTTATACGTATGAGTGTTATACGTATGAGTGTTATATGTATGAGTGTTATACGTATGAGTGTTATACGTATGAGTGTTATATGTATGAGTGTTATACGTATGAGTGTTATACGTATGAGTGTTATATGTATGAGTGTTATACGTATGAGTGTTATACGTATGAGTGTTATATGTATGAGTGTTATACGTATGAGTGTTATACGTATGAGTGTTATATGTATGAGTGTTATACGTATGAGTGTTATACGTATGAGTGTTATATGTATGAGTGTTATACGTATGAGTGTTATACGTATGAGTGTTATATGTATGAGTGTTATACGTATGAGTGTTATACGTATGAGTGTTATATGTATGAGTGTTATACGTATGAGTGTTATACGTATGAGTGTTATATGTATGAGTGTTATACGTATGAGTGTTATACGTATGAGTGTTATATGTATGAGTGTTATACGTATGAGTGTTATACGTATGAGTGTTATATGTATGAGTGTTATACGTATGAGTGTTATACGTATGAGTGTTATATGTATGAGTGTTATACGTATGAGTGTTATACGTATGAGTGTTATATGTATGAGTGTTATACGTATGAGTGTTATACGTATGAGTGTTATATGTATGAGTGTTATACGTATGAGTGTTATACGTATGAGTGTTATATGTATGAGTGTTATACGTATGAGTGTTATACGTATGAGTGTTATATGTATGAGTGTTATACGTATGAGTGTTATACGTATGAGTGTTATATGTATGAGTGTTATACGTATGAGTGTTATACGTATGAGTGTTATATGTATGAGTGTTATACGTATGAGTGTTATACGTATGAGTGTTATATGTATGAGTGTTATACGTATGAGTGTTATACGTATGAGTGTTATATGTATGAGTGTTATACGTATGAGTGTTATACGTATGAGTGTTATATGTATGAGTGTTATACGTATGAGTGTTATACGTATGAGTGTTATATGTATGAGTGTTATACGTATGAGTGTTATACGTATGAGTGTTATATGTATGAGTGTTATACGTATGAGTGTTATACGTATGAGTGTTATATGTATGAGTGTTATACGTATGAGTGTTATACGTATGAGTGTTATATGTATGAGTGTTATACGTATGAGTGTTATACGTATGAGTGTTATATGTATGAGTGTTATACGTATGAGTGTTATACGTATGAGTGTTATATGTATGAGTGTTATACGTATGAGTGTTATACGTATGAGTGTTATATGTATGAGTGTTATACGTATGAGTGTTATACGTATGAGTGTTATATGTATGAGTGTTATACGTATGAGTGTTATACGTATGAGTGTTATATGTATGAGTGTTATACGTATGAGTGTTATACGTATGAGTGTTATATGTATGAGTGTTATACGTATGAGTGTTATACGTATGAGTGTTATATGTATGAGTGTTATACGTATGAGTGTTATACGTATGAGTGTTATATGTATGAGTGTTATACGTATGAGTGTTATACGTATGAGTGTTATATGTATGAGTGTTATACGTATGAGTGTTATACGTATGAGTGTTATATGTATGAGTGTTATACGTATGAGTGTTATACGTATGAGTGTTATATGTATGAGTGTTATACGTATGAGTGTTATACGTATGAGTGTTATATGTATGAGTGTTATACGTATGAGTGTTATACGTATGAGTGTTATATGTATGAGTGTTATACGTATGAGTGTTATACGTATGAGTGTTATATGTATGAGTGTTATACGTATGAGTGTTATACGTATGAGTGTTATATGTATGAGTGTTATACGTATGAGTGTTATACGTATGAGTGTTATATGTATGAGTGTTATACGTATGAGTGTTATACGTATGAGTGTTATATGTATGAGTGTTATACGTATGAGTGTTATACGTATGAGTGTTATATGTATGAGTGTTATACGTATGAGTGTTATACGTATGAGTGTTATATGTATGAGTGTTATACGTATGAGTGTTATACGTATGAGTGTTATATGTATGAGTGTTATACGTATGAGTGTTATACGTATGAGTGTTATATGTATGAGTGTTATACGTATGAGTGTTATACGTATGAGTGTTATATGTATGAGTGTTATACGTATGAGTGTTATACGTATGAGTGTTATATGTATGAGTGTTATACGTATGAGTGTTATACGTATGAGTGTTATATGTATGAGTGTTATACGTATGAGTGTTATACGTATGAGTGTTATATGTATGAGTGTTATACGTATGAGTGTTATACGTATGAGTGTTATATGTATGAGTGTTATACGTATGAGTGTTATACGTATGAGTGTTATATGTATGAGTGTTATACGTATGAGTGTTATACGTATGAGTGTTATATGTATGAGTGTTATACGTATGAGTGTTATACGTATGAGTGTTATATGTATGAGTGTTATACGTATGAGTGTTATACGTATGAGTGTTATATGTATGAGTGTTATACGTATGAGTGTTATACGTATGAGTGTTATATGTATGAGTGTTATACGTATGAGTGTTATACGTATGAGTGTTATATGTATGAGTGTTATACGTATGAGTGTTATACGTATGAGTGTTATATGTATGAGTGTTATACGTATGAGTGTTATACGTATGAGTGTTATATGTATGAGTGTTATACGTATGAGTGTTATACGTATGAGTGTTATATGTATGAGTGTTATACGTATGAGTGTTATACGTATGAGTGTTATATGTATGAGTGTTATACGTATGAGTGTTATACGTATGAGTGTTATATGTATGAGTGTTATACGTATGAGTGTTATACGTATGAGTGTTATATGTATGAGTGTTATACGTATGAGTGTTATACGTATGAGTGTTATATGTATGAGTGTTATACGTATGAGTGTTATACGTATGAGTGTTATATGTATGAGTGTTATACGTATGAGTGTTATACGTATGAGTGTTATATGTATGAGTGTTATACGTATGAGTGTTATACGTATGAGTGTTATATGTATGAGTGTTATACGTATGAGTGTTATACGTATGAGTGTTATATGTATGAGTGTTATACGTATGAGTGTTATATGTATGAGTGTTATACGTATGAGTGTTATATGTATGACTGTTATACGTATTACTGTTATACGTATGAGTGTTATATGTATGAGTGTTAAACGTACGAGTGTTATATGTATGAGTGTTATATGTATGAATGTTATACGTATGAGTGTTATATGTATGCTTCGGTCACAGTTAATAATGTCTGCTCTGTTTCTTAAACGGCAATGAAGAGCTTTCACTTTATGCAAACACAATCATGAAACATACATATTGTTTTGAATTATTTATTTATTTATTTATTCATATATTTCATGGTACTTACAGTTCTTGACTTTCTGATAGATACGTCAAGGACATTCCAAGCTTAAATTATGTAAGGGGAAAATGGTAGTTCTCCTGAAAGGAGACAGAAATAATACCGCAGTACTTATAAAGAGTTTCTAATGTTATAGAAGCAATTTATAGTCAGGTCTACCATCTTTTTTTTATTTTTATTTTTTTTATCTTTTATGACACACATAAGTATTCGGTGCAGCACTTGGTATAGCGACAGTTTTTCGCCTTTCTCTTTGTTTGCATAGCGGTAGCCAGCCAGTGTGAGTGTATATTAATTCGGCCTTCGTGTAAATGGGGTGTGTATATATATGTATATATGGGGTAAAGAAGTAATTCCAACAGTGTGGACAAGTTTAGGTTGTCAAATTTTCGGAACGATCCGCTCCTTTATCAAGACACAGTGAAACAGAACAGTTACATGTACATATACATCATATTACAAGAAGATAGAACTGATATATTATAATTAAAAATATAGCTATTATATAAAACCAAAAGTCCCCTCGGCTAAAGACAGCCGAAGGCAGCAATTAAGCTGAGAGCATCGCGGACAAGGAACGCTGATGTAGAGGACCTATTCTTGCGCAAGATGCACTATCACATAAAGTGAGTCAACGAGAGATAAGCACCAGAAAGCTTTATATAGATATAAAGCCCCTCAGTCATATACTTGTCACTTACATTTTTATACTTTAGTACATATGATACCCGGCACGTGTTTCACAACTAGTTTTGGTTGTTATTCTATAAACTGCAAAACAACATCGTAACATATATGATCTCGACACATCATTGTTCATAACAGTTCTAAAGACGTTCTATAACTTTAATAAAAAAAAAAACAATGTCTTGAAATATTTGTTCTATCTAAAACTAATTATGATACAAGCAAGCAAACGACATTCTCTCTTGAGGTTTTGATGGGCTTAAGAAGAACTCACGTTTAATCACTTATAACTGTAATATTGCTAGTATTAAAGGAATGATAGCACGTGACAAAGCAATTTCAATTAAGGAATGCATAACATATACTATCCTATCCTATCAGGCCTTCGTATACACCGACAATAACAGGCATTTGAAAATTGGTCAAATATATTAACGTATATACATGTATGCTTGCAGGTCAATAGAAATGAGCATATATAGCAAGCTAGTAGGCTTATATCAAAGTACTTCATTTTATTGAAGTGTTTATCATTTCAGTTTGTAATTATTCGTAAATATTTTAGGAAATTTCCGAGAGAAAAAATCTTCTTTGAAAGCCATCCAAAAAGAAAGAAAAAAAGAAAAATCTGAAACAGCAATCGGTAAACTTAATGGACTTGATAACTATGTTAATCTTCATTGATCTATACAATACCATGCGTCAGTACTGACATCAGTAAGGAAACCAGTGCGTCAGGATTAGCATGATGTTCAGGTCACTGATCATGACATACCCTCGTTTCCGAAATAATCAAGTATTTTATAGCTAGGCGAGATGTCAAAATCGAAATTTCAATGAAATGTAACTCAAAATGTTAATTTCTTAGCCAGATGTTCGCAAATAAATTAGAAATATCAGTATATTCGGCATTTAAAAATAAAATCTTGTATTGTAGTGAGTTTTAATTACATATTTGAATATGTATTTGTATGTTGTCTAAAAAGATTAGATTAAACTGAAAACAAATGTAGTATATTGGCTTCGCTAAGATTCGAATGACCACGCCACTGTCACCGTTTAAGCTTACTTGTCTGTTATCGGGATCCAAGCTCCTCTTGTGGCGACTCTGAAACAGACGGCTTAGTGGCGCTCATCGCAGCAATCTGTCTTTTTAATGTCTCAATTTCCCTTTTATTGTTTCGATACCCCATTGTGAAGGTCGAGCGCAGAAGATTCACGGACGATTTAATGCTGTGAACTTGGGAGGGAAGGGGTGGGTCTGCGTTCGTGGCAGATTCCTCAGCCTGTATCCGCTTACTTAGATAGGCAAGTATTTCCGCCTGTCCAGCGTTTTGTACCTTAAGGTCGTCCGTCTCTCGTTTTAAAGATATTATACTTTGCGCTTGATGCATAAGTTGGGTCGTGTGGGATAAAATCATCGCCTGAGCGTGGTCAGTAAGTTTTGAAGATTCGTTCTGAATTCTCTCCACTATTCCCATCATTTGCTCTTGCAACGCAGAAAATTTAGGTTCCAAGGACTCCTTAGAATTTGTAACCATGTCTCGAAGCCCTTTCACCTCCTCTGACAGTGCTGCCATGCTAGAAACTTTAGTCTGAATTTCTTGTAGATCCATACGGAACCTTGTGCTGACATTCCTTATGCTTTCAACTCCTGTGTCCAGTTTTGACATTTCCCTTGACAAGGCCTCGGACATTGCCTGTTGTCTCCGTTCAGCGATGACCAGCTCGGAATTGATGTGGTCAATGGAGTACTTCATCTGGGAGCTGTCTTCGCCATTGCATTTTATACCAGAGGAATCGGGCACTGTAAATTGATAATGGCAGTTTTCCGACTTCACTTTTACAGCCAAAAAAGCAGCCACAAACAGGAGAGTTACACGAAACATTGTGTCCGTCCTGGCGGGTACCTCAGCTTGGAATGACCCCTGTAATGTTGGTCGGGTGATTAAGTTCCGTTACTACCGGAGATGTCAGATGTCTACCTTGACGATCATGCTGTCACTTATTGAGATGTTCAACAACCTTAAACTTTTATGAGTATTAAACTACGAAAAAGAATAATGTATCCACTACATAAGATAAACAAACTTTAAACACTCTATAATTCCATGAATATTTAAGACAAGCTATTTATCAATATGTATATTTAACTTTTCACGTCAATTAAAGAAGCATGCAATCTTACACATATGGGCGTATCTTCTTTCGTGATGGTTTTCAATCAATGATAATTGCCTTGTTTATAAAAAATCCGAATGATATTAATTTTTAAGGACACAGTTAAAATGAAATTGATATCAGCCACAATATAAACTCCATTTAACATTCGGACTTTCCGGCCTAAACAAACATGGGTGGGGCGCATGTCTGTGTCGATACTCACTTGTTCCACGTGAAGTCTTGCTGGCTACATATTTGTTTGTTTAATGTCGGACACGGAACCTCCCATTTTGAGATAACAGCCTTATGGGGGCGAATGATATAATCCTCTTCACGTACTCAGAAGTATCGCCATATAGTTTTAGATTATTTTAGATAAACAGTGAAAAAATCTGTATACTTAATTTTAATTAAGACTGTTTTTGAGAGCGAGATTTCTTGGCCATAAAAAGTATACGAAAAAAAAAGAACAGGGCATTTAATTTAAGGTGGCTCCACACTTTCGCAATCAACCAGCAAAATTCGTTGAAACTTTCATTTAATGGTTATGCAACTATGTAGAGTGAATTTTATGAAAATCTAAATATTCCGATAGTCTGGGGACCTTTTTGGAAAAAATACCAAAAAATTGAATTTTCGCCACTTTTAATATTTTCCGTTTTTTTTTGTGTGTGGCATTGTTCGGAACAATAAGAACAATGAAAAAATGAACAGAAGCATTTATAATTAACCCTACAAATATCTTATTTATCGCAAAATATGTAACACATGTTACACAAAGTGTTTTTATTGAATTTGAACGGATAAAAGTGATTATCTACAAGCTAAAAGCAAACAGAACACAAAGATCTATACATATAGAGTGGGAAATTGAACAAAATATACACAATGGCTTTATAATTAATTTATTTTACATTTTACAATCACTTTGATCCGGGTGAGAGTTATCTCCCTTGAAAAAATCGGAACTTATTGCAGAGGGATGACATTTACACAATGACAGTTGTCTCTGTTTACATATAACAAAAATGATGGAAATAAATAAAAAAAATATGATATCAGAATTATCAATTTATTGTTCTTTAATTGAACCAAATTACCCTCAGTCATGTACACTTTGGACATCATCCCACAGTCCGCTAACTCACGGTATATCTATAATTATGTGACGTTTACAGGGGTTCGTATCAGTCACTTCCACTGAAGATCCTGATTGTCTATACTACATGTAGATGTTATTTGAGCTACTCAGTGCAGATATATACAGATAAAGTAACTTGCATAATTGGGTACCTTTTCTAATGAATTAATCAATATAATTGCTGTCTTAAAGCACTCAGTCCCTCTGAGAAATGTACAACACTATGATCTAATAACTATGAAATATATAACAACAAAATGAGTACTCAAAACGAAATACTGAGTACTCCCTACTCAAAATGAAATACTGAGTACTCCCTAGCCAACAAATGATTACTCCCTACCTGGGACTATACAAAAAATTGCCTTCTGTAAATTAGCTATACCAACTATAAACACATCTAAGAGAGGAGTACTCCCTAAAACGAGCACTCACTTTACCTAATGTATGAACTGAATAACTGAGCACTCACTACATATAATACATGAATCACATATCCAAGAGATGAGTACTCCCTAGAACGAGCACTCACTCTAACAACAGCTAAACCGAGCCTCTCAAAGTAACTACTGAGTACTCTCTAGCTATTACATGCCAAGTGCTCCCATACACTTTCTCTCAATCACAGGGCAGACCCAAGGTTATAATTCACCATCATGTGATGTACCGATCACATAGAGTAACCGTAGCGGAGAAGGGAAGCCTTGCTCAGGCACATCTACCTCCGTACTTACTCTTCAGTAAATTATCTCTATGCCTTTGCAGTAAGATACAGGGAAGCCTTGTTCAGGCACGTCTGTACAATACTAGCATATTTACCTTTCACAAGTGTTTCTGTCTCTGCCGACGATCGAACGAAGAGTGGGCTGCTGAAGTTAGCCGACGGCTTTTTATAGTCTGCTGCCAGACGAACTTAGCGCCACCTATGATTCTTCAGTGTCATTAAAACGTTTACATAAAATCCTATAAATACATGTATACTTCAAGCGTCTATTTGACAGCGAAGGTTATCAACAAAATGAGGGACATACTACTTGACGGCAAAGTGGAGCCGTGATTCGCCACA